CGTGTGCTTTGCTCTCGAAAGCGGACATACTCGACACTGACCTGCGGTGTCCTTCTTGGGGATAGTGATGCTAATTCGTTCTGTTCGCGGTCTCTAGGCGGTCTCGGTAGCGGTGGCCGTGGTCGTGGTGGTCCCCGTGGTGGTGGCCGTGGCGGCCGTGGCGCTCCCCGTGGTCGCGGTGGTCCCCGTGGTGGTGGCCGCGGTGGTGCTAGCGGTGCCAGAGGTGGTGCCAAGGTCATCATCGTAAGTGTTTCCCTTGCTCTCACGGCGGAACAAATTTGTCAACTGACACTCTCTGCGTAGGAGCCCCACCGTCACGCCGGTGTCTTCGTTGCCCGTGGTGGTAAGGAAGATTTGCTCGTCACCAAGAACCTTACTCCCGGAGAAGCTGTCTACGGTGAGAAGCGCATTGCCGTCGAGTCTCCCGCCGAGCAGGATGGTGCTGTGACCAAGACCGAGTACCGTGTCTGGAACCCCTTCCGTTCCAAGTTGGCTGCCGGTATCCTGGGTGGTCTCGATGACATCTACATGCGCCCTGGCTCCAAGGTCCTGTATCTCGGTTCCGCCAGCGGTACCTCCGTCTCCCACGTTGCCGATATCGTCGGCCCTACCGGTAACGTCTACGCTGTTGAGTTCTCTCACCGTTCCGGCCGTGACCTGATCGGTATGGCCACCCACCGCACCAACGTCATCCCCATTGTCGAGGACGCCAGACACCCTCTCCGCTACCGCATGCTCGTTCCCATGGTCGACGTCATCTTCGCCGATGTTGCCCAGCCCGACCAGGCCCGTATCGTCGGCCTGAACGCCCACATGTTCCTCAAGAACGAGGGTGGTGTCATCGTCTCCGTCAAGGCCAACTGTATCGACAGTACCGCCAAGCCCGAGGTTGTGTTCGCCCGCGAAGTCCAGAAGATGAGAGAGGAGAGAATCAAGCCCAAGGAGCAGCTGACCTTGGAGCCCTTCGAACGTGACCACTGTATAGTGTCTGGTATCTACAAGCGCTCTGCATGAATTTAAAGAACAAAAGAATCTGGTGGTCTGCTTTCTCATGTTTTAATTATTTATGCTCTTTACAACTGGCGTCGAGTGTTCCGTGATATGCTGAAATGCTTCAACTTTTTTTTTTCTCTATATTGGTCGCTCTATCAAATCGTGTCCTTGCTTAGGTTTCCCTAAATGTACTTCTTAAGACAGAAATTCGAGGGTTACGATATCTGGTTGGTCTAAATGTATGCTCTAGCTTGTTGACTGCTTCATTGATGAGTGTAACCCCTGCCTCAGGTGGATGTAGATATCTAGATCTATGGCGATATGTTGCGGAGAACGCAACATATGATAGCACTGCGTATGCGTGGACCAAGTTCGATAACTCGGACTTTCGCCGGTTGTCCGGTCGTAGCCTAGCTCGGCAGTCGGATTATGTGCCGATGGAGTGAATGACCAGCCACCGGATTCGGACTTGCTGCGTTCAACTCAAATCAACAGGCTCTGGTCAATCAGGTTGTGGTGATTGATGGAAACGCAGGATGGTCGATCCGAGGGCGTGGAGCCGTGGGATGTGCTACTTGTTGGCATCCTCTCCGCTCGAACCCCGCAGCGTGCTGGTATATAGACTTTACCACCTGGCATCACTCCTCACCACCTTAAGCAGCTACCTGACACCACCTACACTACAATCTCACCTCTAAAACCCGCCTCGCGACAGAGAGACATTCCAAAACTACAGCATGTCAATCATCATCACCGGCGCAAGCGGCTACGTGGGCCAGGAACTGGCCGCGGCGCTGCTAACCACTTACCCGGAGATCACGGTGACGCTGACGGACGTGGTCACGCCGACGGTCCCCGCGACCGCCGCGCAGCACGCCGCGCGAACCCGCTGCCTCGAAGCCGACCTGACCTCGCCCGCGGTGGTCGACGAGCTCTTCCCCGCGGCGCAGCCCTACGAGACGGTCTACCTCCTGCACGGGATCATGTCCAGCGGGTCGGAGGCCAACTTCGAGCTGGGGATGCAGGTCAATCTGGACGCGACGCGGCGGATCCTGGACCGGCTGCGCACCGCGACCCCCGGGGTGAAGGTGGTTTTCACCTCCAGCCTGGCGGTGTACGGGCCCGCGCCGACGACGGGGTTCGTGATCGACGAGACCAACTTCCCGCCGGTGCCGTCGTCCTCGTACGGCTCGCAGAAGCTCATCGTCGAGACGCTGCTGAACGACTACTCGCGCCGCGGCTTCCTGGACGGCCGCGCCGTTCGCCTGCCCACCGTCACCGTGCGCGCCGGCAAACCCACCCAGGCCGCCAGCAGCTTCGCCAGCGACATCATCCGCGAGCCCTTCCACGGGCGCAGGGCGGTTCTGCCAGTCCCGAAGGACACGCAGATGTGGATCTGCTCGCCGCAGACGGTGGTCAGGAATCTCGTGCATGCGCGCGAGGTGCCCGCCGAGGCGTTTGGGGATTCCCGCGCGGTCAATTTGCCCGGGCTGTTGGTCAGCATTCAGGAGATGTTGGATGCGTTGGAGGAGGTGGGCGGGCCGGAGCGTAGAGCGTTGGTCGAGGAGAAGTATGATCCGGACGTGGATCGCATCGTGCAGACGTGGACGCCGAATTTCAATACGGCCCGGGCGCTGAGGTTGGGGTTTGTGGAGGATGTGTCTATGATGGACAATATTCGGCAGTATGCGAGTCGGTTTGTGTGAGGGGGTGGGATAATGTATTGGAAATGTGGTGGTGGTGGTGGTGGTAGTTGAAGCTGTTGCTGTTTTGTAGTATGATGTATGTTGTACTGTACAGTGAAATGAATGAATGAATGGCCGAGTGCTGCTGCTAAGGAAACAGTCGGGATCGAAAGCGGTGGTTTGGAAAAGCGGGTCATGTGATTGGCTGGCGGATGGGCGAACAATTTGACTCCCGAACTTCAACCTCGCCATCTCCAGGCGCTGACCGTCTTGTTACACCCTTCCTTCATTCTCCCTCTTTCCTCCCCTCCCCCTCCCTCCAATTCACCTACCTCATCTATTACACAATGGCCTCTAGGCGCCTAGCGTTCAACCTCAACCAGGCTCTCCGGAGCCGGGCTGCCCTGAAGGCTGTCCAGCCCGTCAAGCGTGGCTTCGCTTCTCCCGTTACCCTGCCTTCCTCCACCCAGACCACCACCCTCTCCAACGGTTTCACGGTATGCGCTGTCGTCTATCCGGTCTCAATTGCTTCTGACACTCACTAACGGGACCTAGATTGCCACTGAGCACTCCCCCTATGCTCAGACCTCCACTGTTGGCGTCTGGATCGATGCCGGTAGCCGGGCAGAGACTGACAAGACCAACGGCACTGCGCACTTCCTGGAGCACCTTGCTTTCAAGGTATGGCTCCCAGAACCGTCTCAATCTAGATGCGGTAGCTAACACTCTGATTTCATCACAGGGCACCAACAAGCGTTCCCAGCACCAATTGGAGCTCGAGATCGAGAACATGGGCGCTCACCTGAACGCCTACACCTCGGTACGGACCGGAAGGAAAAGTCTACTTGAGAATCGCGACTAACGCCCGATTGCAGCGCGAGAACACCGTCTACTACGCCAAGTCCTTCAACAACGATGTCCCCAAGGCCGTCGACATCCTCGCCGACATCCTCCAGAACTCCAAGTTGGAGCCCGGTGCCATTGAGCGCGAGCGCGACGTCATCCTCCGTGAGCAGGAGGAGGTCGACAAGCAGCTCGAGGAGGTCGTTTTCGACCACCTCCACGCCACTGCCTTCCAGCAACAGCCCCTCGGCCGCACCATCCTCGGCCCCAAGGAGAACATCCAGACCATCTCCCGTGACAACCTGGTCGACTACATCAAGACCAACTACACTGCCGACCGCATGGTCCTGGTCGGTGCCGGTGGCATCCCCCACGAGCAGCTCGTGAGACTCGCTGAGGAGCACTTCGGTGCCCTGCCCAGCAAGCCCCCTACCTCTGCTGCCCTGGCCCTCACCGCCGAGCAGAAGCGTACTCCCGAGTTCATCGGCTCCGAGGTCAGAGTCCGTGACGACACCCTCCCCACCGCTCACATCGCCCTTGCCGTCGAGGGTGTCAGCTGGAAGGATGACGACTACTTCACCGCCCTGGTTGCCCAGGCCATCGTGGGTAACTGGGACCGTGCCATGGGCAACTCCCCCTACCTTGGCAGCAAGCTCAGCTCCCTGGTTGAGCACCACGGCCTCGCCAACAGCTTCATGAGCTTCTCCACCAGCTACAGCGACACTGGGTGAGTTTTGTCTCTGTTTGGTGTCGATGACGCGTACTGACCGACATGTGCTACTAGTCTCTGGGGTATCTACCTCGTCTCCGAGAATCTGACCAACCTCGATGACCTGTGCCACTTCGCTCTCCGCGAGTGGTCTCGCCTGTCCTTCAGCGTCACGCCCGCCGAGGTTGAGCGTGCCAAGGCCCAGCTCAAGGCCTCGATCCTCCTCTCCCTCGACGGCACCACCGCCGTTGCCGAAGACATTGGTCGCCAGATCATCACGACCGGCCGCCGCCTCAGCCCCGAGGACGTCGAGCGCACGATCGGCCAGATCACCGAGAAGCACGTGATGGACTTCGCCCAGCGCAAGCTGTGGGATCAGGACATCGCCATGAGCGCCGTCGGCAGCATCGAGGGTATCCTCGACTACCAGCGTCTCCGCTCGGACATGAGCCGCAACGCTGCTTAGATGTGCTGCGCTCGGTGTAGGTGAGGGTGTCTGTTGCGTTGTCCACCAGGAATTATGGCAAGTGTTTCCAGTTTTGGTGATTTTTAATAGATAGAAGCGGTGGTCGTGCCGAGGAAGCGTGTCTTGTACAGTACACAACTGTCGCTATATCAAAATGTATTGTTTGTTAAGTTCAGCCTTCACCCTAGGTGTTGTATGAGTAAAGGGTGGCAAGCACTGTCAACCTCCAAAGCCTTGGATCGAAACACCCATTCAACAATTTGACCCACCGCAGCCACAATAAAGAAAGGTAAGATAACCCAACCCCAACGCTTCCAAAGCCATCGAACCCATCAAAACCAAAACCCATCCCACCCCGCCCCCAGCCAATCAAATTAAATACAAGAAATAGTTTACATAAAATAAAACCATCAGCTCAACCCCCTACAGCAACCACTGGCAGACACAAAATCATTTATACTCCATCCCCGCAGGAGCCTGATACCCGCCCTTCTCCAGCAGGCTGGCGCGGCTCTCGGCCTCCTTCTCGTTCTGCATCAGCGTGCAGCACGGGCAGCAGAACGACTTGAAGCAGTCGCCGCACCCGGACCCCTCGAGCTGGAACTTCTCGCGCAGCTTGCCCCGCTTCATCATCAGCGGGATGAAGCCCAGTCCGCAGTAGCCGACTAGGCAGTAGAGGCAGCACTGGTTTCAGCATTAGCTTGGCTGGGGAGCCGGGAGGGGGGGGGGTTGAGGGATTAGGGATTGGGAAGGTCGGATGTGGGCGCTGCTGCATACATCACCATTCATCGAGCCATGTTCCTTCAGGGCTGGGTCCTTGAGTCGCGAGGCGGTGCGGCCGAAGAGGCAGCAGGGGCACCAGAAGGCGAGGCAGCCTGCGTTTTTGTTTCTTCTTGTTAGGTTTTGGATGTGCATGTGCATGTGGATGTTGGATGGGCGTACAGATCTTGCATGGGGAGCAACAGTCCCAGAAGCTGTTGGTCCATTCTTGGCCTTCGCCCATTGTGGATTTCTTTTTTTTGGAGGGGTAGGGGAGGGGATTTGGTTGGATGGAGGTAAGGTTAATGGTAGGGATTGTATTTGGGCAGTGTGAACGACGGGGACTGGGTGTTGAACGAGTGGAGGGATGAGTGGACAGTATGGGTTTAGGTCAGGTATGAACGAGAGGATACAGTCTCGAGGACTAGGCTGAGAGTCGAGCTTTTGAGGGTTGCAACGCTGAGGGCTGGGGGCATGGGCGTGGCATGGCCTCTTTAAATAAGACAAGACATGCCATGGGGCCGAGTACGAGGTTGTCTACGGTATTCACTGCACAAGACACTAACTACGGAGTATCAGGAGGCTTGGTTTTTTTTTTTTTTTTTTTTTTTTTT